CCCCCCCCCCGCTGCCTCTCCCCTTTCTCTTTTTTTCTTATTCTAATGCGCGTCCACCGCGTGAGAACAAATGCGAATACATGCGGTTATGACGTTTTATATCAGAACACAGTGCTCCATTTATCCTGTCATGAATTGTATGTAGCTCATCTTGTGTGCCTTGGTTTACGTTACGTTACGTCAGTTTTTTTCTTGTACTATGTGTACAATGAAGAGAGGAGGATGATTAACCGTGAAATACGGTCTTCATATGCAATACGAGCGGAATTTTCTCGTTCGTTTCTCCTCTCATGCATGCGCGATCATCAATTGAGCCGTTTCATTTGAGTGGCGTATAACTATAATTGAAGTAAGATAGAGACAGCTATTTTAACATTTTCACAAAATTGGCATATATTATATAATTTAAATTATTTTAATGGGAGAGTTAAATGTACTGTGTAGATAAAATATATATGGAATAAACGGCTCAATTGCGTAAGTTTCCAAATAAATCATCAATCTCATAGCTTTAACATTTTCGCGTCCGATGATTAAATGATTATCAATGTGATATTTTACGATAATAAATCATTGTATGTGAATGCTGTTTCTTATATAATTTTTAAAACTGTCTAACGCGCCTCTTTATTTCTTAATTTTTTTTTATGTAACGTATATTGATAGTTATTTATGAGAATAACTCTATTTAATTCTATTCAGAAACATGCATTATTATTAAATGTCATGTTTTTAGAAAACATCAAACGCAATATTATTTATTTCAATGCATTTTATGCGTAGAATTCAATGGGGCGCAAAAGTGTCAAATCTACATATTATTTCATATTATATTCTCTTCCTTCTACGCACATTCTTTCATGGCTCTAACACAAAATATTAACTCTCTCTGCGCAGAACATTTCTTTTAAGTCCTACTCCCGCGATTCCGGACACGGCGGCTCCGAACAGGAGGATTCCCCGCGGACACACAACACCCTGACACTCGGCCATTCCGGTAGGAGACGTGGACCGAATGACGGCGGCGAGATGAACACCGGTACCAGGACGACCGGCGGTGGTAGACGTGCCGCGATGCCATACAATCACACTTACACCGAGATCGTGGATGGTCGCGGCAATGGCGGTGCCGGGCATCATCAGTTGCACGGTCACCACGGCCAACACGTGCATCTGCCGCGCGGCCTCATCAACGAGGACGACCCGGTATACGAGGAGATCGAGCGTAGCGGCGGTGGCGGCAACGGTAACGGCGGTGTTGTCGGCGCCGGCGAGATCCAGGTGTCGGATATGTCCGACGAAGACGGTCGACGGCAGAGCGACATGAGCAGACAGTCTTCGAGGAGCTACGGCGATCATCGACCGTTGATACCGTATTCGCCCGCCGCTGACCGCAACCTGGCGCATTATGGCCAGGCGATGACGGAACGTGGCGGGAGTGCCGGCGCCAATCTCGCGCATTACGATTCGACGGAATACGGACCGACGGTGGAGCGTACCCTGAACGCCTGCTGGGAGAAGCTGCGCCGGCAGCAAGCCAGGTATGAACTCGGGGACTTGCCGCGGCTACCAGCGGCGTACGGCATGCCGCCGCAGCAGGACCACACGCGGACGGTGGCCGTACTGGACGGTCACACCGTCGTCTGTCATCTGCAACCGCAAACGGACATGTACACGGGCCGCGGTATGCCGCCACCGTCTTACAGCGAGTGTTAGGTTCCAACCCGGTTCGAAGACTCTTTCTCGGTTTCCCGCGAAGGAACGATGGACGCTCCCTAAGTGACGAAACGGAGTTGAATCGTTTGGATGGTTTGTTTCGTCCGGGATTATATGGTGGTGGCTGGGAGAGATGATGACGGTGATAACGATTCGTTCCTGAAGAGAACAATCACATGTCGATTCCCATCCGGAGAATCCGCGGGAGATGGACGTGCCGCTTTTTAGCTCAAGCATAAGCGCGACAGTGTCTTGATTGGCAGATCGTCGCGTTTTAGCCATAATCGACGTATCGCGAGCGTTCTAGGGAGCGCCGCCCTTGTCTCCGTTCAGGTGGAATTTGATCGGTCGTCTCCTCGGAACGAGCGGGACGAAAGGAAAGAAAGGATGAGAGTGAGCGAGAGAAAGAGAATGAAAGAGGAAGAGCGAATGCGAGATCGATGGGTATCCAACTAGGCTGCCACGTCGTCCAACGGATACCCGCGTCTCTTAGGATACATCGTATTGATGTGTGCGTGAGTTCGTACCACCGCGACGCGGACTCTGTATAATAGAATTGTAGCGAACCTCTCGTTTAAGCTAAGTCGACGACGACGACGTGCCCGTCGTGGCCGGGCGTTTGGAATTGGCGAACTGAGTGCGCGGGTAAAAACCGGAACGTGACGAGTCCTGATGGGGGATAGGAGCTTTGCGAAGTCCGAAGCAACACGACGATCGGAGATTTCGAAAAGATTTATTCTGGATTCAAGCGCGATGTTTTTGCGGATTTCATACGAGCGTAACGAACCAAAGTTTTGTTATCTTGATGTTAAAGGTAGCTCGTGGAAATTTTTGCACAATATTTGTCGTATATAAATATTCGAGATATATATTAATTTTTTTAAATAATTGTTTTAATATATGAAAGCTATATATAATGTAATTTATAAAAAATAACTTTATATTTTTTTTTTCTATAATAATGTTAAATACATTTCAGCATTTAAGATATTTGTTTTTAAGAGATCTTTACTGTTATAGTTTTATTAGAGATTCCATCAATCAATTTTCTTTATTTATTTTAAAAGTAGCTATATATTTGATTTTATATATATGTATATTATTGATTTCAGTTTTCATAAAATGCGCATGTTTTAAAATGGTCTTGCGAATTGTGAGAAATATAGTTTAGCTTTTTTGAATAGAGGTATTGAATTGTTCGGGCAAACATACGCGCCGTATCGCGTTTCTAGAAATCATTTCATCCAATATGTTTCCTACAGCAATAACATTCTAATGTTATCGAGATTTCGAAACAGATCCTATCTTCGTGCGCGACGGACTTCAAGGGAGGAGATATTACGTGAGCATCATCGATACTCGGCACATCTGCGTCAACCCTTCCCAGACCCGCGTCACCGCCGCATTGATTGTAACGGGTTGGGAAGGGTTACGGGACACGACAAACCGCGTATCGTAAGCTGGCATTCAGTATGGTAAGTGGATTCACTGGCGGCTCAGTCGTCGCTCGTCCGGCAATATTAGGTGTCGCGTTGATCGTAGTATTAAACGCGGTTCACCGTATAGCCGAATGTAAGCTACGTGTAAATCACCATGTGATGTTCGTATCGTTTGCATCTAGCTAGCTATGGCGAATCGCATTTAATATGCCGCTTAAACGTTACAGCTCGTATCGCCACAATGCGACGAATGACTCGCCCGGACTCTTATCAATTTTACTTTTGAATCTATATACTATAAGTATTCGGCGGGGCAAAGCTTTCCAAACGTGGTGGATGGCGTGGCTTCCCCCAAACTTTAGAAAAACAGGCATTGTAATATAGATCTAGACATATCGCCTCTGGCCGAATACGCGACCATCAACGATGCGCCGGTGTTGTCGACAAGTCGAGGATCGACACGTGCCCGTATCTTGATCCTTACGCAGGATTACAACGGCTCGATAAAGGAATCGCTATATTAATTCGTGAGATGAGATTGCTGTAGTGATATTCACTTCGCGCCATGGTAAAAATAGCGTTTAAAGTGACATTAATTTCTGAGAATTTAATCAAGAACATCGATGATACCATTTTTTAAAAAATTATAATTAAAACGGGGAATATCTTTATATATTGTGACACAAAGCAACGCAGTTTGGAGCGATCTCACCGCACGTTAATGATATTTTTGCTTCAACGCCTCTTGATAAATATGATATTTGTTTTATGCAAAATATTCGTCAAGAAAATACATGCAAAACATATTATTTTACAATTTTAAATATGAAAAATACAATCGGCTTCAGGCATATGCACTCTGAGTTTTTGTATAGCATTTTTTTTCGTTAATCTTTTAAATATTACTAAGAGAGAATTATAAAAAGTTATTTATAAATTAGTATTATTTTTTGATATGTAAAAATTCATAAACCATCAAACCTTAATCTTTAATGGTTTAAAATAATTCAACAAAATTCGTCACTAAAAAATTAAAGATTTAATAGAGAATTGTTTACTGCAAAAATATTTTTTTTAAAAAGCATCGAAATACCAGGATATAATTTTACATTTTAGTTAACATATACTGCAGCAAGGAAAACGCCCGTTATCGCCCGTTATGGCATTATACTTTTTATTTACTCATCTTTTAAGGCAGCTACCTACTTATACTTTGTCTGAAGCCGGTTCTATGCGAGGCTTCGTCCTGACACCCGGTGCGCTCCTCGCGCGAGCTTTCACCGAGTTGTGTTTCGACGAGCGAATAACGAGCGCGTTCTCGGCGCTGATGGCCGGAAATTAGATTTCCTCCCGTATGGGAAGAACAATGGAGAAATCGAGGGGCAATAGCTGAAGCGCCTTTATCAGTCGTATATGGCAGCTCCTCGTCGCGCGCCGCTTTGAAACGTTACGCGTTTTAGTCCCAGAACGTTATTTTTATAAATTAAAAGATATATATATATATATATATATATGTATTTTTTTATAAATTAAAAGATAAATATATATATATATATGTATGTATATGTATGTATACAATAACAATATATTATTATTGTGACGAGAGAGAAAGAGAGAGAGAGGGAGAGAAAGAGAGAAAGCGAGAGAGGAACGGCAAGAAGGGCCCAGGAATCGTACGTGGGCAGGTAAATACTAGTGATACAAGCGGATTTTCCGAACGACGTGGAAAAATGCGCGAAAATACTTAGTCACTGTTTTTTACTATTTTTTAAAACAAAAAATTGTGTATGTACGTGAGAGAACGCGTGAGTTAAGCTAACCGTGTAACTAAAAGATTCCGCGCGCGCGCTATTTATTTTTTATCATCCGCGAGTGTTTTTTATATCGCGAGCGGAAACTGTGTCGAGTGGAGGTTTATTGTGTTCTCTAACTACTCCTCGTCGCCCTCATTGAAACCATGAGAATCTTTGTCGGGCAATATTCTGGCGGCAAGAAGAGTATCGAAAGTGAGCTTTGATAGTCTTCTTAATACAGTATATTATGGATGAAACTACGTTGAATTAACTATGTAATAATTAATACTTGAAAATTTCAAATAATTTTTTTCTGTGACAGCGCGTTTATACTTGCTTATAAATCGTAACATTTATTCCGTTTATTGTATACATTTTATTTTGCAACGGTTATTTTTAATTTGAAATAAAGTATAAAAAATAATTAGTAGATAGATTTTATTTATTGATCCGGAGATCTCGTTTGTTTGATTCGAAGAGTCAAAAATAATAGTTTAATTAATGATGAAGAAATTAGCAAGTAATAGATTCAACGTATCTTTGTCCGCTTTGTCGCGATTTCGTGGTTGTTTGATTTATTTCTCGCTCATGTGAAACACGCATATAGGAGAATTGTAATAGTGATAATCGCGTTAAGAGTACCAGCTATGTTAAGTGTGTATAAATGTGTATCGAGCAGTTTTAGCATATTATTGCTCATTCCGGTGTTTTCGAAATATGTGTCGATGATTTTTTAAAGCATCCAGAACACGAAAAATGTCAGCATATCGGTGGCCTTTACACACATTGATTTGTCAATTATGTAAAAGTTATCTATAAAGATATTATACCTATAGGAGTTCTGTAATCTGTAACCCCCGCATCTGACTAATTGGAAGATCAAAATATATATTTCATCCTCAATGATATAAGAGGCGACTATACGTATTATTGATTTACAAAAAAGTAAAATAATAAATGATTTAACCCTCGAAAGAATTTAACATCTCATTCAATAAAGATAAAGTTTCAGAATAAAAGGTGAAATTTAAAGTGAGTTTAGATATGTAAGTTTTTTACAATTGCAAAAATTATTATTTGATGAAAGCGTTATTAATATAAAGGTAACAAGTGAATAAAATCGTAAAAAATTAAAGAAATTCTGTAACCCATTCTAGGATATTGCGAATGTGAAAATTATTAATTAGTCATATTTTAACAAGTACCCGATGATCTCGTATATCAGAATGGTCGCCTCTGAAAATGATATCACATTATATAACGATATTAATGAATATAATAGAAAAAAGTCGTAATAATTAAGATCGTCGATATACTTTTATGAATCGAGCATTCGATTCGATGCCGTTTCATTGTCAGATCTATCCTTTCCTCTTTCTGTAAACCGCGATTAAATCGAGACTACAAGCTCCTTAGAGTTTAAGTTTCGCCATGACTGATTTACCAGTAAGCACAATTAAATCTCGAAAAAGCTTATATATAATTTTCTACGATCGGAAACTGCGACCCTCAGCCGTGTAACATCTAATTGCCAGATAATTGTTGCAAGCATCCACATTCCATCCGTTTGACGTTTGTGCGAAACCAAAAAAAGAGATGGCTGCCACGGATTCGAAAGTCGATCAGTGTGTTAGACGAGACCAGTAGTCCGTATTCTCGACGCATCTTTAGCACTACACGACGAATCGAGAAAGAAAATCAAACATCCGTACTTAGCGCTGTATCCGCGACAAGCACAGTCGTGTTTAGTCCGAAACATGCGATGAGAATGAGATCGGACGTGTCCTTGTTCGAAGTGTCCCGACTGCGGCGTCTCGATTTTCTCGACTAAAGTTTAATCGCGTGCACGAAACGGACATTACACGAGGACACGCGAAGCGTTATCAATGTTGCGAATGACTCCGAATGCGAGAACCGTATGTACATAATGTAAATAAGGCTTTGTACATGTTGAATACTTGTAAAGTGGAGCGCGAGCGCGAAGGATCGAGAGAGCTGAGAGGATGCGAGAGACTCGGAGATAATGACCGATAGATGCGGAAATAAAGCATACCTTAGGCTAAGCGAGTTTACTAGTAAGTAGCGAAGCTATTACGAGCTATTATTATCGGTGACGCGGCGTGGAGGACGCGCAAGGCGAATCTTAATTTAAGTCTCAACGCGTATTAGTTAATGTGTAAATAAGCGAAGGAAGTAAAATATTAAAGAGCCCAAGTAATCGTTGGATATTTATAACGAACTCTACTAAAGTAGGTCGACTGACGGAAGGATAAACGAGACGGCTGGAATCGAAACTCGCGAAGTCCGTCTTAGTCCGCGAAATTATATTTAAAGTGATCCTTTTTCTGTATCGTGCTCACTCTTTGCTAGAATTTATTTTAAATATAAAGTTATATTTAAAGCGATCTTTTTTTCCAAGATCTGTTTTAAGTATAAAATTATATCTAAAGCGATTTCCTATTTTGCTCTCGTTTGCTTTACATGTAAAATTATGTTTTTAAAGCGAATCTTATAAGGAAGGATCGCTACAAATATAGTTTTACGTTTAAATTGAATTTAATGGATCTTGGATTTTACGGATTACGATTCAGATATCTCGATAAAACCTGAAAAGAAAGAAAGAAGCACAAGACAAAACGTAGTCGTACACACTCGTCCATATGTGTATCGCTGCGCGAGAAAGGATCAAAGGACGAGGAAAAAATACGTGTACGGCGTTGATTGGACACGGACAGACGATGTACAGTGCATGTTTTATCCTTAGCCGTTTTATAAATGTAAATATCTTCCGCCTCCCCCGCTCACACTATCCTTTTATCCCTTCTCCTTATCCTGGTCTGTTTTCTTGCGGTAAGAGCGACAAGCCCAAGATTAATTGATCGTTCCAATTGCGATGTTCCTTCTTTCTGCGTAACGATTCTTTACTTTCTTGCTCCTTCTCCAAATCTTTCATCTCTCTCCCTTTCCGTAAAAATCTCCTAACTTTGTCCTGTGAGATACTTAGCGGATAAGCTTTCGTTTCGGAGTGAACGAGATGAAAATACATTGAGCGAAGCCAAAATTATCTCCGTTGAATTATCACCACCATCCAGAGCCGGTTCGAGACGTTTTGGAGCCTCCTGCGAAGTGATATTTGCGTCCTATACTGTATATATTGTGATTTACTGTGAGAGAGTAAAAGATAGCGAGAATGAACGTGAGTTCAGCGCGTGAAAATTATTTTAAATCTTTTTTACTTCTATTTTTTCGACAACATTGTGATCGCACGGGGCATCAAAATAGCGGTTTCTGCAGTAGAGGCGATAATTACGGTAGTTTTAATTCTTATCCTACCATTGGTACCTCCGATTACGATGGATGCGATTGTTTAAAGAGTTGCTGATACTTAGAGATATCAATAGAGGGAAAAAGTTTAATAAACCGCTCCTTATCATCTCCTTTTCCCAAATCGTTGTAACACTCGAATCGAAAGCCGCGAAATCGTTGACTTTAGAGTTCACACGATCGCATAGAATTCGTACAATTCTGTGATCTTACTTTTTACGTTTTTCCTTCGTGATGTAAGTGATACTTAACGCTAGAACGCTAACCAGAATCGTCGATACAGATATCTCCGACGCGTGCCAATTTCTTGCTAATTGGGGTATATTTCTTATAATTATTATAAATAAATGTTATATCAATAATTGAAAATCATCGATATCATATTTTGTGTCTTGATTTAGCTATTGGTTTTGTTTTTAAGTTTTTTCAATTTTTTTTTTATATAGTTTTTAAAAAATGCGCGAGATATCGTGTGTCGTCTACCAAGGTGTTAATACTAATTGCCAGTTATGTTACGTTAGCGTCCTAGAGTTTAAGAGAGACGCGACGCAGTCTCGTCCAGCACGCACACACTTAACAGCAAGCGCATGAATTTTCTGTACTACGTCGCCTGCCTGCGCACAGTGAAAAAGAAAGTTTAACGAAACAGAGGAGGAAGGGTAAAGGTAGAAAACGAAGAAGAATGTAAAGCCTAGGTATCTCCGAACTAATAAGAGCCTCCGTTTCTTGATTTTTGTACGCTTCTTTAAAACTGTCTGATACAAGAAAAAACAAAGGATAAATAAATGTGTACCAATCTCTGAATAAAACACCACCTGCTTAAACCTTTTTTTCAACCTAAATAATAATAGACATTTTCGGCGAGAATTGAGCGTAGTTTATAATAATAGTACCAAAAAAAAAATCTTTCTATTTAAAAAATTTACGGAAAAGTTGTTTACAAAAAAATAGATTTTAATTATATGTATATAATGTAAGAGATGCAAAAAAGTATAAACTAAAGAGATGAACACGTTGATTTACATTATTTACGCTTTTAACTTATATAATTTCTGCTGATTAGAAGAGACTTTAAAAAATACGTAGTAACACATAACAAGTATTTACGAATAAAGACTTTATTTAGCGCCGTATCTAATCAAAATCTTAATAACGTCGCTATGATTACTCCTTTGAGCTATCATCAGAGATGTCATCCCGAAAGAAGCTTCGCAATTCACATCTATCAAATTGTGCTCCAAAATGTATTCAACAGCTTCCGAATTGCCAGTCAGCGCAGCAATATGTAGAATAGTTTGACGGACATTGTCTACAAGGCTGACATTAGCCCCCAGATGTACAATGCATTTCGCTGCATTCAGGTTTCCGTGCTTTACTGCCTCATGAAGCGGCGAAGAGCCTGAAGAATCCTGTACGTTCAAGAGATTCGCACATGATGCAACGAGCAAGTTAATCACTCTCTCATGGCCATGAAATGCTATAATTGAAGCAATTGAAGAATTTAAATGATCATGTTGCAAATAGAAATTTATAAAGAGATGAACAAATGCACTGAAATTAATTAATAACAATTCAGTCTTATGTATTCCTGATTTCGAAACGAGTGCTGCTATTTAATTTAGTGAAATGTTTTTTTATATTCTTACGTTAGAGAAAGAAATAAAATTATTGAACAAAAAATATTAAAGCGTATTTTTAAAAAGATAGTATCAAATATTATTTCAATAATGCAAGGAATAAATTTATAGAAAAGAATGAATTGAAATATAATAAGAAAAAAAATCGAAATTAAGTATAATATTTTATTAAATGGTTGCAATTTTATAGATTCTGATTTATCTAAAAAAATAAAATGAAGAAAGCTGATAAAATATAAAAATATTATGTTTTCGGTGGATAAACTCTGCAAGTAGTATCAAACAATTCTATATAGAGTTACCGGCAACTTTAACTACTGCGGGTTCTGCCATCGATTCGATATGGAATTCTCTACTGAGGGTAGTCGCGATTTCTGTAATCTTCTGTTAGTATTCTATTTTCTTAACTTTGATATAATTGAAAGAATTCTTAATCGCGCGCGATCATAATCTCTCTTTCACGATTCTTTAACATTATTTTTCATTATAAAACTATTATAAACATATATATATATGTGTGTAAATAGTTACATTATTTTTATATTATTATTTATAATAAACACAATATAAAAAAAATGAATCCAGAAATCAACATATTACAAATATATATAATTACCAGCGATATGTAACGCGCTGCGACCATTATTGCTTCGATCATTGATGCACTTTGGCGAATGCTTTAACAATAAATCGATAGCATTCTCATCACCAGCTCGACAAGCGATAAGTAACGGAGTCCAACCGTCTTTATTGCGTAAAAGTGCGTTAGCGTTAGCGGTCAAAAGGGCACTGATGCACTGACAGGCTGCTGGACCGTTTTTGGTACATGCCAGCATCAAAGGAGTCCAATCACCGCGCTTTAAAGCGTCCACCGATGCACCTTTATGAATCGAACGATGGTATAGCTTAGTATTAATCATGTCTCCCTTCGTTGTAATTTAATTTAATATAATTTATATTTAATAATTTACATAAATTATAACTTAACATTAATCAAAAAGTACAAATAATAAATAAATAAACAAATAAATTAAAAATACAAACAAATTAATTTTTAAATATATATGATGTAAATAAAGAACTTAATAATTTATATTTAAATATTCTGCAAGAAAATATAAATGAATCGAATATTAAGAGCGAATAAAATATTTTTTTGTATTTAATTAAAATCAAATTATGAGATTCATTTACATATGGTAAATAATTAATTAAAAAATAGAGACAAAATACCTCTCTCCAGTAAGTATTTTAAAACTCCCTCTTGCGCAAATTGTGCAGCTTCATGCAAAGGTCTCTTCATATCTTTATTGGTGACATTAACTGTAAATCCTGGCATGTCGAAACATTCGCACAGATATTTTACAATATGTATATTTCCCGCTCGTGCTGCCACATGCAATGCGGTATCGCCAGATGTTGAGTGGCAAAAGTCGCTCCAATCGCGCACTCCATATCTCTCGACGAGAGTTTCCACTCTGTGGATGTTCCCGCTTTGACACGCACGTAGGAAGTCGCGCGACAAGTTAGGTAGCTCGGTCGTTGCAACATTATTACACATGTTTCGTTAAAAAAGAAAAATATTAATTTTTAACTCAAGAAGCGTTTCAAAATATGCAGGAAATTTCGACTAAAAACCAAGTAGTTGGAGTAAAAATCAACAGACGTTCTTCAAGATTTAACGACAATAACAGATATGTGCTGTCACCAAACGACCAGTCGCACGAACTTACCACACGATCGATGAAAGAGCAGTTCTTTCACGGCAAAATACACCTGAACATCGTGATCTTATTTACTAGCAATCGGTCATATCAATCGTTTCCAAATGAGAGAAATAATTCATCTTAGCAACAAATATATATAGATATTATTTAAAAGAGAAATAAAAGTAAATATATAAAGATAAATAAATAAATTTATTTTAAGCGAGGCACTTCTTGAGGCATAAAAAAATACAAGATACATGCGAACATACACACCATAGACATATAATATATAGACTGCGCATCTCTACATCTGCCGTAGTCAAAACGCGTCAAAAAATAGAAAGAGATAGCTGCTGTATAATCACCGATCTGTCTTTGTCTAAAGACGCGTGGTAGGGTAAAGAAGCTCTTGTTGACTGGGAAACAGAAAGGTAGAGGGGATGAAAAAACAAAGATAGAATGGTGATACAAAGCATGCTATCTCTGTCTAATATTTGACGACCCCCACTCCTTGACACTCGGTCTAGATATACTATTATCTATGATACACATACACATGCGCACACACACGTTTATATACAATAGTATATAAGATTTAATATATGAAGAGAGTAAAGATTGAATATATATATTATATACAATAGTATATAAGACTTGATATATGAAGAGAGTAAAGATTAAACAATTACAGATAAAAAATAACTTTTGAATACAAGATCTATAAGAGAGAGAGAGAGAGAGAGATTATGTTCTATATATATAATATTAAAAAAGTAATATTGAAAGGAGCACAGATTATATTTTTACGTCAGTTGCAAATAATGCTATAAATCTATATAATTAAAAGAGTAAAGAACACATACATTGACATCTACATGTTTTTACTTTTGCATATGATTTCCTAGTTCTATACTAGAGAAGACGTAGCACACAAAACGAGGCTAAAGGAACGGAGACCAAGGACGTGCAGCACATAGTCGGACTCCATTATGAGGTGTAGGCATGTCAAAATTATCATACATATTGGCTGGCTAGATGCCGACACGAAGATATGCTGTCCGGTCCTGAAACGTTCGATTATTTAAACAAATCGGAGCGATACGATCGCAGTCACACCCATTACTTTAATGCGCACCGTGTAGGTATTCTCGTCCAGGTGAAAGATCCCGTGCATCACGGCCAATCCTCGTGCGTTTCGATATGCATTTAAGCGCATTTTAATCCTCTCTTAACCAAGTTATTTTTAAAATTAGTATATAAAAACTATATATAGATTCTTTCGATTGTGTACATTTACCGTTTCTCGCAATTGATTTAAAAATATAGATAATTATTTTAATGCTATATTACTGGAAATACAAAATTAATATTATCAGACTGCGTAATGCTTGAATGGCATTCCCACAATTTATAAATATCTTATACAAAGGAGGGAAAAAGCAATTAAGAGCCAGCGCGGTAATTGAGCGGTAAGTGAGCGCACATTTTATAAATATCTTTTTATCTTGCAAATTATATTACTCTATAATTTTTCACGCCTTCTTTATTAAATTTGCAAAATCTGTGGATTTTTACGATATAAATTAAATCAGTATATATATCCTTTATTAAATCATTTATTTATTATTTAGAAAAAATACTTGTTATATTATTCCTTTCATATAATTTGCACCTAAACTTTTCTCTTTACACAAATTGTTTGCAGTAAATTTTCACATCTTCGCGTTAAGGCTTTCACGATAATGTTCCCATTCAACGAATATTACCGAAAGCGATATACGGGGGTGGACGGGGGGTGTGCAACTTTACCGCAGGGTGCACAAATGAAACGATCCCAGGGGTGAAACGCGAGCGCGTGAGCGACAATTTCCCCGCGTGCACGCGTCGAAACGAAATTCGTGTCGCACGAAAATTACGAATAGGTAGGTAGATATATGCACGCGCTCTCTTAACTCTCGCATATGAATAATAAACGAGGCGCTAATGCGCGCCCCTTCGACACCCCTGTTTCTCTTCGTCTTAACCGAGCCGGCGTGTCCGAAAGCGCACAGTAATCAGACACCCGCGGTTACATTATTAATTCATTCGCTCGCTTTATGCTCTGTCGCTTGTATCGATTGCCGAGTGTCACGTGTCGAAGTTTCCTCCAGTATGTATATGATATGTTAAATCATTTTTTAATTAATTTAGAGTGTAATTTAGACAAAGACAAAGAGAAATACATACACACACACACATAGATATATATATATATCAGTAATTTTAAAAAAAGTTAATCCTTGGAAGAATGCTCGAAGATTAAGATAGATTGACAATGTGCGAATGCGTACAAAAGAAAGATAACACGCATACATGTAACGTATGCACGGCTTGATATGCAGACGGCGTGCATGGCGCGGCGGCATTGCTTACCAAAGAATCTTGATTCTCTTTGGCTGCGAAATAATTCTCAAAAATAGAAGTCGAATAGCAATTTTGTTATGGTGGCTAACGTTTACATTTCTTGAATTTTATCAATTTTCTTAAATCATACTACACATCTCTATCTTTCACATAACTTTATCCACATGTTTGCCATGTAATAGAAGTAATTGAGAGATTAAACAAATAATTTAGTTTAGCAATAGAGCTATTACTTTGTGCGATAAGCAATTTTATTATCAGCATCTATTCATTAAATATTTGGATATCTACGTCATATTACGGTAACACTGCACAGCTCGGCTCACTTAAATGGCAAACGCGAGAAGCTGAATGGCAAACGAGAAGATATTTGTCTGTGGATCAAAGCGCGGTATTGAGTGGGCGTATCGCCCGGGGGTCAGGCAGTCGATCTTTCTCGGTTTTGCCGCTTAACAAGAATCGCCTCCTCTTTAAATGAGACTCGATGACCGGGCGGAAATCGAAAGCGCGTTGCGATGACACTGTAAAAAAATTACGATTCCGCTCGCCGATCCTGTTCGAATTTAATCCCCGGCCAATAGATCGTTCCGCTAATAATTTGCGGCGTGCATTTAGTAAAGATGCATCTCATTGTAGAATTGCATTTGGAACATATTGGAATATATGCGTACGAATATATCTTTTTACGCAATTTTCTTTTTTCTTGGCCTTATATACATATTTATATATATTTTATTATCAAAATAAAATATTGTAGTATCCAATTTTTGGTATTGAGGTATTCGATGTCGCGCTTAGAATTCTTCTTGCGTCAATACCTTTGCGGCATCGAAACCGTAACGCGTATCCACGCCAATCAAAAAGTATGTCGTTACCGACACTATGTAGAAAGAAATAGGTGGCTTTTCCAACCACCTCGTTTCCGCGCTCTCGATTTAACCGCCGGCAGATCGACCGGATGGATTGGACGCAGGACTCGACTCTGGCGCTTACTCGTCCGCCCCCGCGTCGCGAGAGATCCTCTCTTCCGCGTCTCTCTCTCCCCGTCCGATGAAAGAGGAAACTTCCTGCGGCTCCGGGTCGATCTTTCGGGTGCGGTGGTGTAATAAAAAACAGTCCAGTCAGCGGGGCGTGGATCGCCGATGGCGCGGACGGCCACGTCTCGTTCATCGGGTCGACGATCGCCTCTCTCAGCCCTTATCGCGCGACGCCCGTTTCTTTATTTATCCCTCGCTGTTTGCGTTCTCCGTTTATCGGCATAATTTGTTTCATTGGTATTTGTATCAGCAAGTTTGTCGAGAGTTTTTTTACGCGAGAGTTCTTTATGCGAATTTATAATATCATCACAATCTTTTATTTAAGAGATTATAGATTATATGTTTGGTGCTTTAATTATTCTGTATTTTTTGCCATAATTAATCGATTTATATTTGTAATCGATTTAAATGTGTATGTAAATAAAGAAATTGTAATTATATATTGAGCTATTTTAAAAACGAATTCTAATGTTTTAATAATTGTAATTTTAATAATAGCCATTATAATGCTACATTGCCTCAGAATTTCGAAAGATTCTATCGAAACGAGCAAAACACATAAAAGGAACATGATCAATAAGATCCATTCAAAGTCGCGTGAGGGAACAGAAGATAGAGAAAACCATCTAAGCGGTGTCGACGAGATTTCGTAGCAGTAGCTGTCACCGCGTCGTCGTCGTCGTCATCCGCATCACGACGATTCTATGCGGTAAGACGCGCGGAGAGAGCACGGGAGACACGGTGCCCGAACAGAGCTGGATGGAGGAAGCTGGTAGCCAGGATATCAGTATCAACGTGGTGTAATCAACGAACCACGCCCCTTGGTGCTATGCTCTCTCCGTTCCGCCCACTACGGCAATTACACCCTCGAGTCACCCACTGGAGGGGAACATTAAATTTTCCCCTTTTCCCCTTCACCGCAATCCCCCACTCATCTCCGTATGGCTCTGCGTCACCCCTCGACCTCCTTCCACTCTCCGTTCACCTTTCCTCCTCTCTCATTCTTCCTCTTTCTTCGTCTCTCGTTTTTATTTTTAATTACTGTTTTTAAGAACTGGAGTAGACAAAATAACGCAAAATATTTATCATTTTTTAATTCTGTTTCAATCATTCAATATTAATTATATTATCTGTTATGTTGAATAATGATATAAATAGAATTTTTTGAATTTCGTAAAAGAAAGAAAGGATCTGTGATCCTACTTAATATAATATCTCTACTTAATAATATAAAATATTTTCTTACATATAATTATGTGTGCAAATATGTTGCAACAAAAATGTTAGGTTTATTTGTATTTTACTTATCTAACAATTATTAGATCGATTATGAATGAAATTAATGAGATTTTAATAAAATTCCAATAATTGTGTTTTGCTCATTCAAAATTAATTATCGCAATCGGTTATCATGATCTGCTTTATACTTTCGGCTAACTCACTTGTTCCTTGTGTTGTACAAGGGTGATCCGATATATGTACGATATACGCGGTATGATAAAAAAGAATTAAAGCTGCTCGCTCGTGAAGTCGCATGCTCGTTTTGCTAAGTGCAACGACGTGTAAAGTGATCGCATAAATAGCAACAAAATGAAATTCTTGAGGAAGAAATGTGCGCGAGAACTTTTAAGTCAGCACATTGTGAAAAATGCGAAATTTCCTTCCGTAGGAAGGTCTCGAGTTTCCGCGACTGACGAAAATTACTTTAATTGTTTGAAACTTAATTTAAACCTTCCTGCGCGCGCAGTGACCTTTTTATTTTTGCGAAAAAAAATCAAATCTTTGAGCTAACTATATTGTGAGTTACTCTTATAATAATAGCGTGTATAAATCCTATTTAATTAAACTTTTTAAACTTTTTTAAAAATAATTTTTTACGCCTTGTTTTTGGGCTTTTATTAGTTATTATATGTGTTTTAATTATTTTGTAATTTTTTTAACACTTATTAAACATATTATATTTTATATTTCTTTTTAACTCTACTAATTTTAATATTTATTTAAAAAATTTTTTATTATAGCATACATATATGTATATAATATAATTACATTACATATTAGGATGTTTTAAGAATTTATGTAATTCTTCATTTTATAAATAAATTTTTTTGGACCACATATGGTACAATTTATTAATTTTTAATCCTGCTGATAAATGATTAGTCATGGAAATTCTTGCAAATGCATCAAATGCATGCAAACATGCATGCCACATTTAGCTTGGTGATAAATTTGATATTGGCAACTTGACATTTAGTAATTAAATGAGTATTAGGAAGTAATCAATTAAGGTCAGATAATAAAAAAACTATAAAAATAGAAAAAGTAAAAGAAAGCATAAAGTAAATCAATTTTGTAATAGAGAGAATTATATGATTTACACGAGCAAACTTAGATCGTTTTATATTTGTTATTGACAACAAAGTTTGACATTAACAATCGAAGTGTTTATTGACTATTTAAATTACATAAGAATATATATGGCTGATTGTGACGACGAACAAAAATACAAGATAAAAAACAGATAAAAAGTAAAAATAGAATATGTTTTATGTTTGAAATTATTTTCTTTTATATGAAACGTGCATGCGAATTTAATTTATTTTTTGTAAAAATTTGAATTTTTCGATTTCAGCGTGAAAATCGAGTATTCACAATATTATTATAAATTAATTATTACATGGCCACGTTTATAATATCAAATATGTGATATAAATAGCAGCTTTAGATTTAAAGTGAAAATACAGAGTTCATGGTTCATATGTTAGAATTTGGCGATTTCAATGCCCGACAAAGGACATATTCGCTCTTAAAGTCTTCCACACGTTTTCAAAGATTAAAAAGGAAATTGATTGAATCTTGTTTAGATTTATTTTAGTTAAATGTAGTAATTTTAAACTAAATTAAAAACTCCGTTCCCATCTGCAAGAAATTGGCAAGAATTATTTATAAATAATAAATTATTTTTAAATTACGATTAAATTTATCAATTGCAGGTTAAATCAATGGTTAACTTATCAAAGCCAATTAAGCATTGAAGTAAATTTATTGTAATTAAATTTGAAGACTTTTTCAAGAGAACAAATTATACAAATAGAGCGAGAGCCAACTATAGACAGAACGTTCAATAGACGTCCGAAACAGTGTGAGAGGACACGAATTGCGGGCATTCGCTACGCTCTCTCGAGCCGCGATTTGTCCGCCCAATTTCACGGCCCTTTCGGGAAAAATGGGAAAATTTCTCCTCTCTCGGTCGTGGCAACGAGTGTGGGAAATAGATCGCGTTATTCTCCCGCGGTTGACTCTTTGACACGCCCATAGCGAACGCGCGGATTAAAACGTTCCTTTTCCAGTCTTATGTTTGGTGGTGGTATTTAAATCATATAAACAGTTTAAATGCCAGCGAGTGATTATAGAGGGGATTATAGTTTAATTTAACTGCAATATGTATTTGAATTGATGAAAAAAGTTGCACATGCGTAACAGTGTAAGTTAGATAATAACAATCAATTCAAACACACATCTCATTCTAACCGAATATTTTTCACTTTATCATTATTTATGTAAGAAAACTTTCAATTGTGTTTTTTATAGAGTAATAAAAAGAATTATTATAGAGATTATATTTAAGAATTATTATATTAAAAATGTAGCTAGATTTATATTAGGTATCTTTGTAATACCTTCATATCCTTCATTAATAAAACTATGATATTTATACCATTTAGCGATTTATTTGATGCAGTTAATATCTATATTTTTATTTTCGAAATAAACAGTGACTCTTTCTTAGAAAGTTCAATTTTATTATTACTTAAGTTTATTTTTGTATATTTGCGCTATATATGTATATATAGTCTTTAAATTTTCTATATCCATATAGAGATTATATATTTGGGATATAAATAAGAAATATAAGACTGCTGAATTAGATTTAGAAGATTAATTAAAAATTAGATTATTAATCTTTAAATAGCAATGATTAGATCCTAAAATATAGGTGTTTCTTTCAATTATCTTCATTGGATACATTGTTATAAACAGAATAAAACATTCGAATTATGTAGCTTAATAACTAGTATTAATAACATTTTTATCATAATCTTATAATAACTTTTGTTATACAAATTTATGGACCATCCAAATCTCTCGAGAGATTGGTTGAAAATGCGTTTTTTTTTTAAACAGTTTTAAATATGAAAAGAATACAAGCTTATAAACTTTTCCACTTAATCGTTGAAAACGTAACGTTAGGAAATGGTCGAGTCTGAAAATTGTTAAATTTGTTCTCGCTGTTCTCTATCGACTAACTTGGACCCTCGCCCTATGCAACGACGATGTCAATCGAGGTCACCGTCGCCGCCGCAATCTCGGCATCGCCTTCCGGAGCGCGTCCGCGGACGATTATTAGTTTTCCGCCTCTCCCGGAAACCGTCGGCTCGTTCTCATCGACCGCAAAGAACGTGGTAACGTCGTCGTCCACCGTCCGTCGTACGTTACCACGCTCTATAGGGGAGAGTTGCTCTTTCCGCGTCCTCCGGGTAGGCGTGGCAGCGTCGGGAGAGATGATTTATCCCTCGCGCGAGGCGCAGTAACTGCCGAGATCGCTGGCTAAACGACCGCGCCGGTCCTTTTCGTGTATTAACCGTAATGCACTCTGCCTTGCTATTGTGTACACTGTATACGATCCCGATCCCCCCTCCCCCCTTTCTACTTCTTCCGACCCCCTTCAAACCACCCTTCAACTACCCCGTCGACCTTTCGTTTTTTTTTTCCTATCAGCTTCTTCTGCAATTTTTTGACATTCTCTCTTGTTGAACATTATTATAACTTATAAATGATACTTCTGTTTTGTGCGCGAAGAAGAGAGTTTCGTCCAAGATAAATCATTTCTATCTTCGTTGTAGCGCATATTTATTTCATTTCTGTTCTTTCATTTTAAGCCTAAGTTCGATTAGTTAATGTACATGTTGTTACTTTAGATTCATCTTTTCGATGTGGATTTTTTTGTCACTGAACAATACGTATTACATAAATTAAGAAATAAATGTACTATTAATAAAAGCTTTCAAGTTTTTAATGTAAATTTTTAATGTAATGATTTTGATATATATATTTATTTGTTATATTTGTTTGATATATATTTATTTTTGCCATTGTTCCGACTGATTTGTATATTATGGATTGTGGCAATTATAAAGTAAAAAACACAATAATGAAATAAAAACAGAAATGCTTAAAAAAATAAGAGGAAACTTTACAATAATTATTATCGTATCTTAAAAATTAACATATATCGATATGTTTTAAAAAAGAGTATAAAAACGATATTAAATTCAATAATTAGATTTAATAATTAAACTAATTCCTATGTATTACTCTTGTTACTTACCTAAGAGAAAATCACCTGCCATCAATTATTGTGCGCTGAGAAAAAATCGTGTATTTTTATCGTGCTTCCGTTTCAAAAGTCACGGCTGTTCCGAGTCAAAGAAGGCTAAATCGAATTAGCCGGCTGACACATTGACGCGTTTTGCATCGTGCATCGTCCTGCAGTTGCAGCGGCCCGGCCGAACCCGGCATATGGGGTCACGCCTACGAGGTAAACGGAGGGGACCCCGATTTCGTCCATGGATCCCTTTTCAGAGGCTCGGGGCCCGCACGCGACGCAGCCTGCGAAAATGCGCAATCCACCGATTTGAGACGACGATCTGATCCCGTGGGAGCACCCGATGACGATGAATCGTCCCGGGGCGGCCGGCCCCTCGAGAAACGCAACAAAATTGTCAAAACAAGGCAAACGCAGGAACCCTCGTGCGATTAGCGATCTCTGTCAATTGATCCTTTGAATCAAAATGCACGAGATCAATTAGCTGAATAGGAGAATGCGAATATAAAAGTCAAGAACTTGGAAAGATTCTTGAAGATATTATCTCCCAAAATTCTCTAAACTTTATTCTAAAATAAATTAAGATTTCTTATATCATCAATATTGCATATGTTGATTTTCAAAGATATCAAGATTTTTATCTATCCTTAATAAGATTAGAACTATAATTCGCTAATATGCGACCCTTAAAGTTTACCTTTAAGGGGAAGGGAAAAATGTTTCCTTTCGATTTTATTGCGATAGTACAATCCGTACGTATAAACTTTTTGTTTATTATGCAAATATTTTTAATTATCAAGGAACTAAGTAAACGATGCTTTTTTCTAATTAACTTTTAGATTAATATATAGATCTAATTGCGCACCGAATAGGTATAAGGTAGAAGACAAATGATATTTCGAATTACAGTCGCACGTTTTATTGCCGACACGATATTACAACGTATGCAAGTCTATAGCCCGACATTTTGTGCGCTTCCGCCTCATTGTAACGTTTCGCCGTTGTAATACAGCTGCGATGATCGCACGGCTGATCGATACGCGGTATCGCCGCCACGTAATAGTTGTTCGCCAGGCTGAAACCCACTGCTTAATGTAAACTATCTACAAATACGAGCTACGATGTTTATGCGGAATTACTATCTACCTGGTATATGTGTATATTTACAAACTTCTAAGACTTGTTATTTACAATGTGCGCTGTGAAGTCGGAAAAAGATATCGAGCGCTCGAGCAATATGGTCGAAATGACTCCCTCGTGTATTTAGAACATTTGAATCGATGGTGCGATAGAAAGCGAACCGGCAAGAGAGAAAGTTCGGCTTTATATCCTTTGAATAACTGTTAAAAATGTTTAAAAGATAGAAAATATTCGAAAAATTCTGTGCTATTGTTAGCAAGCGATTCATGCATATTTAATTTAATTTCGATAAAATATTCTCTCCTGTCTCAGTGAATAATATAGCACATAATAAAAGTTCTATGTAAAAGATAAAAGAAATATATATATATTGAGGTATAAGTATCCATCTCTCGATAATTTTTTACATTAATCGTGGTTGATTTTTAATTCCTGATTGATAGATATCACGACTTCATAATGAGGACATCCGATTCCATTTTGCCGCGCGCGCGTTTTACGCCGATTAACATTTTACCTCTATCTCTTTCCTTCGCGTTTTAACGTACCAGGCGTCCAATTCTCATCGTCCACACGACGTTCACTACCTCCCGGAGGATCCGAGACCAGCTCGATGCGCTGGCACCGCGAAGGCCCTCAGACCACCCCCAACCCCGATCTCTACTCCCATACCGGCACCCAGTGGCGGCTGCACCTGGCCAGTCAAGTTCACCGAAGAGTTCACTAATCCCAAAGTGTCGCCCAACACCGATGCCGCTCCCGGGGATACGCTCTCGCCCGAGGATGGTGTCGGTCTCGCGCGCGGTGCCCTCGCGCACTTCTCCAGATGATGATGATGCGATCTGACAGCCAGACGGCTCACGTGCACTGGTATCGGCACGACGATCCTGGTACCTGAACCGGTGTGCTGGCCGGCGGTACCATTGTGACGACCAGAAGCGCCGGAGGGCGTCATAGCTGATGCCGCCGTCGAACCGACGCCGACACCACCGCCGCTCAAGCCGGCCTTCACCCGCTTCCACTTGGCACGTCGATTCTGGAACCAGATCTTCACCTGCGCCAGAATTATGTACGATTTGAGAAATAAGTTACACAAGTTCTTTCACAGTAAAGAGAAGAATCAAGTTGCATATCATAAAATTAATTATATAATATATATATATACATATTAATATGTATTTAAAGAAATTAAATTTTATAACTTTGGATACGTTTTTCGTATTATAAATTAATTTTAACATTTTTATAAATTCTCAGTATTTTTATAATTGCGAGAATTTCTCTCAATATTTAATTAAATCCTAACGATTTTGAATGTTAATTTATTATTTGCTATCAAACCTTTAACTATGTATGACTGTCATCAGTTTATCGTTTGTATTCAGCACTGACCTGCACCTCCGACAGCTTCAACGCGTGCGCTATGTGCGAACGCTCTGTCAGGCTCAGGTACTTCTTTGCGTGGAATTCGCGCTCCAGCTCTAACAGTTGTTCCGAAGTGAACGCGGTACGTCGTCGTCGGGCTTTGCTGCCACCGGTATTCGACGCTGACGAATTCTGCCCGTTTTCTAAGGATCTGCTGGGACTTGTGGTGACATTGCCGATGCCGCCGCCGACACCATCAGAAATGTCATGACCCTCGCCGGAACCCACAGCACCACCACCCTCTTCGTCGCTATCGGCTGATACACGACCGTTCTCAGATCCTGCAACACATGGATGATTATGAGGCATCTGTCAAATCGCATCTTTCCTTTATATCAAAATTTGAAATCTAATTAATATATCAAAATATAATGTAGCAAAGAGAATTTGAAATTGATAATGAAATAATTTATCATTAAATTATTTGCGTTACGTTTCAATATTCTGTCAAAAATGCGCATTATTCGAACATTTATTATAAGCATAGATACGAATAAAAAATATAACACGCTTTTCAATTAAGACATTATTTCTATGATTAATCCATAATTGAATTATTAAAAACAAATAACAAATATGTTCAACATTAAAAAAATATTATCGTCGAAGAAACGACTTTAAAGTATACAATTTCAAATAGAAGAGTTAATATCCACGACTAACTCTAGAGACATTAAGTCATCAACGAACTTTATCGCTATCGAGAGTACATCGCCGCGGTATGTATAGCCTGACGGCTATTTAATATGCGGAGCAGATTGGTCGTTCCTTCATAAAAGTTGCGCTCTTCGATCGTCGACAACGTTCTCTCGTCCGTAATTTCCCGTACAGAGTTTTTTTTTTCCCTTCATCCGCGAGGCAGCCGAGCGCGGCATGCAATATGCACCGGGATACGAAACAAAGTTACTGCGGAGTTTGATGACTCCGTCGGGTCATCATTTATTGAAAATTATTCCTACAACGTAGTTATATAGTGGTTCGAATAGCTCGCGCTCGGCTGATCGACGTTTCGACGATCGACTGAATAAGAAACGGAAATTCGCATTAATTCGCGGATGTTCGCAAATGTCCGAGGAAACTATTTGAAGATTATTTAATATCAATGATAATTGGAGAATTTTTATATAAAAAGAACTAAACGACAGTTTTAACCATTTCAAGTCGAAGATGCGTTCAGACTTTTTTAAAAGTTTAATATAAAAAAAGAGAATTATCCGTGCAATTTATTTTTACTGTAGTTTTTTACAAGTCGGTGAATAAGCCATGAATCAATCAATATTAGGCATCAATTTTTTTTTAAATAATGTAAAAATATAAAAATATATTAATTATTAAATGTGTTAATTATTAAAATCTCTATTAAAATAATATAATTAAAACTTTTAATGTGTATTTGAAAATGTATCACAGAGCATAAAGTTTCACGTTCTATCAGATCTAAAGTTGTATTCTAGTAGATAAATTAACATATATTAAAACTTATGCACATGCAGTGCATTTCCCTCAGAAATAACATAAATAGAATCGTATAGGTTTTCCTCGTCGTATTTTCTCAAGTAAGCAACCGCACGTGATTCGCAAAACTTTTCCCACCGCAATATGGTCGAGTCGCATGATCAAGAGCCGATCGTTATTTGCGGGCGCATCATTTCCTGCTAAAGTTCGTTGTCAACGGTCAACTCGGCTATGGTCAGCTTGAGTTATTCATCGGTCGCGATTCGCGTCTTTCTTATCCCGAAGTTCGCGGATCGCGCACTTACAGGAGCGCGCAAACTTTCCACCACCATCGGTTTGATGCACTCTTCAGTCGCTAACTTATTCAGAAGGTTTCGATTAGGCGAACGATATACGCTTCCGCGAGCGTACACGGGCGTTGTCCCTTGCTTCTCGTCTTTACATTTTGCGGGGAAATCGATCTGGGAGAACGACATTGTTACATCGTCGTTTAGCGGACCATACTCTTTTAGTCAATAGAGTTATTGGAGCGAGGCTATAACCCAAAACTTAAACACGATTATAAAATCGCTTTCGCTTGTTTGATGGCAATTCTGACAATTCGGCTCTTATAGCAAATACCTAGGTGAAGACGATGTGAAAATCGTGCATAAACATATTGATTCAATCGCGAAAAAAACTAATATATCTCTTTTTCAATAAGAGAGAGAAAAAAAAACTTTACATAGAGATAAAAAAATATGCCTAGTAAATAAAGTAAATAAATAAAATAAAGTTTAATAAAATATAATTTCTAAATTAATTTAATTTGTGTAAATATATATTTTACATTAATATATTTCAAATTAAAATAATGTTTTTTTTTTATTTTGATTTAATTATTGATTTATCCGCGGAAAATACTCCAAAAGAGAGAAAGAGAGGAAATATTTGCCAAATATTTCACACATAGATATATACATCCCCACAACACAAGCACAAAATATATTTTTTAGACTATATATAGACTAAATTTGATAAATAATAATATAAAGTTATGTAACGTATATGCGCATGAAATATTATCTTATTTACAACAGGTAGAGTAATTTGCTCATGGATCGATTAGGTCGCAAATTTACCCGCCAATTACACAGACACGCAACAGATTAATTGGGTCGCGGTATCTTTATTGATTTCATCCTAAGAAAAGCTGCTGGTATCTACATGCTTAACGTAATATTACAATATTATCGATTCGTCATATATAATAATAATCCGCAAAAATAGCTGACGTGCTTCAGAGCTCATATTTTATTTAACCATTTAATAAAAAGCAATTATTGAAACCTATCAATGATGGAACAGCCGGAAATTAAATCATTTAAAGATCTTTATCCTTGATTCATCGATCGTTCGTGTCGGGTTAATCTTCGCAATTTATCCAATTCCATTATTTTCATTCTCTCAACTATATCTTCGGTGATCATCGATTCTTTTTTATACCGTTGAGAAAAGTATTTTACACTTTTTTAGAAATTTTCTATCTTTCTGATTATGAATCTCTAACGCATACAAAATATTTTAGAATATATTAGAATTAGAGTACCTTTTTTTAAACAATGTTTTGAATTTTAAACGATTTTGGAACTCTTGATTTCTTAATTTTTTGAAAAGTAAATATTTTTTTTGATCCCAAGGAATTTTGATTTAAAAATTTTTAAATTCTCTGTTTCCTCAAAAGAGTTCTTCAATCTCACGATTCTTAGATCTTTTCAAATACAATGAAATTAAACAAATTATTCTGCGGCTATAATGTCTCGCATAATGACGCGAGATTCCACAATCGATCGGCGGAATCGTGCCAATCCTGGTATCGTCGTTACCAAGGGATACTATTCCTTTTTTTTTCGCGACAAGTATGGCTCGGTCCTTTACGGAGCAAGATGCGATCCTCCCATATCGTGTCGGACGCACCGCAGGCTCTCCACACTCGGGCAATGAATAACGAAATTTCACCGACCAGGAAAACTGCGGGAAAAGCAAAAAAAAAAAAAAGTTCGGGGGTCTCGAGTACCTTCGTTCGATTGCAAACGCGGGTACCGAGTAGTGTGGGAAATAATTTATGTATCTATGGCCTTCGTAAAAATGCAATGAGCTCGCGTGAGTTTGATTATAATAGTAGCTCCAGTACATTTCATTGTGCATTCAGCATTAAGCATAATTCATCGTTAAGGAAATCATGCATGAAAATAAGTGTGCAGGATTCGGAGCACTCTATAATGCAACATGAATATCTTATCCCTTTCGTTGTTACACACTTTTAATTATATCACTGTACTTTTCGCTATTTTTGCAACTTATCGATAAGATTTTGATATCCACGTGTGATTCCAGCCATGTATGGGGAATATATCCGGTTCATTAAGTGTTAAGGAAACAGGCGAGATTCGCGACCTGATTCGAGAATAATTTGCTCGATCGCGGCCCGATATAGCGCTCGGCGCGATCGATAGACGAGCTTCGCCGGAAGCAATTATCGAGATCGGATCGTAGGAAGCGCTCATTCGCTGCTCGCGTATGACTCTGAGTGAATGTATTTTTGGATATGCGACATGAAATTTCAATCGAGCTTATTAACGGGCGCTCTGCCATTATATCTGTCATGATGACGTTACCGAGTATTGCGACGATCGATATAGCGAAATGTCGGTTTGTCTCCCTTTCTCTTCCTGCATCTATTGCACGCTGCGAATATAATATCACACGCATTCTTAGACACGCGCGTACAGCCAAATGTAAAAATGGAACGTAAGAAATATAACAAAAATAATTGTAACAATAGTAATAATAATAATATTTAATACATATATACAAAAGAAAAGATAGAGAGAGCAAAAAAAAAAAATTTAATTGTAAGATGATAATTTTTGTTTGAAAAGAAAATTACACGAAACTACTTCTCGCAATTGGATAATATATGTATATATTCTATTTTATGTATTTTGTCATTTCGAGAATTTTTGTTCCCATTCGGTTACATCACGTTTATCGACGGACTTTTTCTATAAATGCTTCCTATGCAGTATATAATTGCCGAATCGTTGAATCGCCGGCAATTATAGTCCAGATTATACGGTTGTTAAATTCTGCAATGCTGGCATTATAAATATCACACGATGCTCACGTCGCGGCAAAATTGACGACTTCCATTCACGGCGACGCGACAGCCACTTTGTTACTCTGACTCGAAACCGATCCTTCATATAATCGGTTCCATCTTAGTCGTCGTCCTGACGGCTATGAATGACGAATGACGTGGTATAAAAGGACCTTTCGTCTCGCATGCCAAATCGAAATATGATCCTTCCGCTCATCCGACGCGCGATACGCTAATCGGCTTCCCGTCGCAAAATCGGTGAGTGCGATTAAAATTCAAGTGACATTCGATGATTATCTTCTCGTGTGCTGTTGGTATGTCATTGAATTAAATTTGAGTACAAAATAGAGGAAGCAAGCGTTTAAAGTAATTACACTTCGTAATTAATCTTATTCTCATTATAGGAAAAATTTAATAAAACACAAACTTAAAATTGTCTCTAATAAATATAACTCCGGATTGTTTTAGATTATCATAATCACAAAAGACAAAATAAATCACGAACGTTTTAATTTTAATTCACATAAAGAGCTTAGATAAATTACAAAAAAATTAACTTTGAATTATTATAACATTTTAAAACTGTAAAACAAAACAATCGCGTCAGAATATTGAGATAATCTATTATAATATAGCGTTTTCGAGTGAAGCAAGTTTGATCGCTCTGAGAACGATTAATGACGTCATAAACTTCGGCTTGGCTTACTAGGGGTACTTGGATTATTAGATTAATCAATGAAATATTTCGAGTAAGCATTTGATTGATTAATCATGGCAAAGAATCTTGTGCTTCAAAGCCAAAATAACATCAAACGGGATATATTTCATATTACTTATATTAATCAGATTCAAAACCCATTTTCGGTCACACATATCTTCATGACAAATTGAATTTAATCGCTCTCAGCGATTAAACCTGCTTTACTCGAAAACGTTAATAGCATCACTAATAGCAATGTCAAAGAAATCAAGCGACTCATCAGATTTTTTTATTTAGCATTAAGAGATATTTCTGTAAATAGCTTATAAATATAGTATTCTGATTACGATTTTATTTTGTTTCGCGTATTTAAATGTCGTTTAATTCTAGATCGTGTGACACAAGTTAATTTGTCATGCAAAAGAATTGTTCGATCTATTAGTGAATCCGTTATTTTCGACGAACGAAATAAAACAAGACTTTCATGAATGATTTTTCGATTTCCCGAAGCGACGGCCAATCTAATCGTTTCGCGTCAAGTGAATGGAACTCTGAATTTTCTATAGACAATCGAAAATTTTGTTCGATTCTTTCACATTTCCAATTTACATAGCCAGCTTTCGTGTTCTTGTGATGAAAATGCCGTTAACACACTTTCTGCCGTGTCACATCTGGGCCAACAATAAATAATTCGCTAGTGAATATCGCGCGAGACTCGTTCTCATTTCAAAGTACTTATCTGTTACCAATTAAATCTTCAATTATATCTATGCGATGTTCACGGATTTGATATTTTTGTATCTCCAAGTAATGGAATCCAAATCTGTAGATCTAGGATTTTAGAGGATTATAAGATATTTGCTTTAAAGTTTAATTAAACGTCTAAACATTTTAAATGTATTATTCACAAAAAAAATTCTGAATGATACAATAGTGAAAAATATAACATTCATGAAGAAAATTTAATATCGTACATTTTTTTACGTATATATAAAGCTTCAATTTTTAAATGTAATATAAAAAAGACTTCGTTAAAATTAACAAAACAATATAAAATACGAAAGATTACTCGATTTATACAAGTTTTTTCTATGAATGGAAAAATTCAATATATACAAAAAGATTTATAATATAAACTTCTCTATTAAAAGGATTATCTTTATTATAAGTTTTATCAATACACTGAATATCTTCCAATCTTCAATTGTAAAGATTGTATAATCAAAAATTTTAAAGATCCTAGACATGGAAGATTTATTTAAAAGGAAGAGTTATTTTTAACTTCTCGTCATTGGATAATAGCTCTGACAATCGATAAAATCTTAGCTACGCCGTTGTGTATTTATGACGCATCGTCTCGATCGACGATCGCATTAAAATAACTGCGCCCGTTCGTAGACTGTATAAAAATTCACTGCTCATCAAGAATAAAACCGATCGAGAACGTATGCACAATGCATGTACTTGATCGCACGAATACCGGGTTTATTTTATCATGCATTTCTTATAAAATCAATTTATCTATTTTTTTTTAATAGTTAAAATTAGTCAAAATTAAAAGAATAATTAAAATTGTGAAGCTGTATATTTCAAAAATACATGTAAAAAATGCCAGTTTGTTTGCATAATTTAAGTGGTATTTTATCTTATGCATTAAATTAAACTGAAGATTTACAGGCAATATATAATATTGTAATTTATTTGAAACACAGTCATGTGCGAAAAAGATAAATTTATTAAAATGTTTCATCTTTTGAATTATGTTGTGATTATATGATTCATTAAAAAATATTAAAATTCTTGTGCATCATATATAGAGTTTGGCTTTTCAAAATACAATATAATCTATATAATTTAATTTTTTAAAATATTCTCTCTCTTTTATTATATTTGTGTTGTTGCTTAGAAAAAAATTAAAATTTATTTAAACCATTAAAATTTTTACGATCTATGCTTTACCAAGGTTCAAGAATTTTATTTCTTAAATCGTATTTTTTAATTTTTTAATGCTTGACTCTATTGCTACTCAAATTTAGAATTTCAATTCTTGAATTCATGTATGATTCTCGATTTTGGGATACCAATCGTAGCAAAACCAATTTCAGAGATTCGTATTTAACGTCTTCTTTTGACTTTTTTTCATTTCATTGATTCTCATCAAAGCAAGATCAGTATTGGTAATCCACGCATTGTACAAGAATGCAATACTCACACGTAGGTGGATCGCGACGAATTCGTGGAACGTCGCGATCGCGCCTTACCGTGACAATCAGACGCACCGGTTCGGCGCGGTGCGTCATAAATGACCGATGACAGATTCTCCGAAGTCATTTCGTCTCGCATACGAAATCGCCACCGGTCGGCGGTACATCAATAAAAAGTGTGTCCGGCCACGAATAAATGCGCGCGCCTGTACACCATCGGAATTGTCCCCACAAAAATACGTGATCGACGATCACGTATCCTTTGACTTTCGGCGATCGTCCGGTGGCGCGTTTTCGGAGAACTATGCAAAATGATATTTGTTTATTCTGATTTAATATATTATATGCTTTCTTTTTAAATTTTTTATTTTACGGAAAGTATATATATTTCGAACAATTTTTCAGAGTATGTTGTTTCTTCACTATTTTAACTTTGCGATCATCTATCAAATATTTTCAGAAAACTTTTGAAAAATTTTTCGAGAAAATTAGAATATATGGAAGTTACATTAGAAAATTCGGCCAGGATATGTTCTGAGATATCTTAATACTACACTTAGATACGTCTGTACACATAATGAAAGATCGGGCCACGGGACCGTAATAATTTATGCACGCTACCGTGTATCTCGATCCTTTGCGGTCGATCGTGGCGACTGCGATCGTGACCAAAGACACGCCATCGGAATTCGTAAACACTTGACAGTGGGACCCGCCGATTTCTCTCGTTTCGCGATTGGATCCATAGATCATTCTGCGCCCCTCTTTAGAGACCATCGCTTTGACGGCAATATTTGTTTCCCCGATTCAATGCGTAATTATTAAATAATCATATTATGATTTAATATTCTTTCTTCCAGAAATTCTTCTATAGAATTTCTTCTTAAAATACCATTTAAAATTATTGTTGTGATGAAGATATTACTTCATGCAAAATAAAAATTTATCGTATTAAGTTAGTAATCAGACAAGATTAAAGGCTATCAGGATTCAGAATCTATTTGGACAGAAATTCGTTCGCTTTAAATTATTGAAGGATTGCATCGAAAGATTTAAAATTATGCAATATATATATATATATATATATATACAGTTTTATTACCATGTAATCTGTCACTATAAGATAATCAAAGTACTTACGTATGCTCTTAGAAAACTAAGATTGTTCCATAGCACTCTTTGCATTTATAATAAGTTACTACTAACTCTTTGTGGCAAGTTATATTCAGCATTGTGTCATTAATGTGTGTTGTGTGTTTTCTGCATATATACACTTTCCACGCAAATCTTTTTATTTTATCCATTTTCAAAAGATGGCGTAACAGAAAAATTCATAATTTATTTATAGAAATAATTATGTAATGATATTTAATTTAATTTAATTTAAGTTATTTACGTTACGTGTGTTTAATTACAAAATGCAAACGATTAATTTAAGAGAAGGACGTAAATGTAATAATATATCAAACATATTTCTTCACTGAAAGAAAACCGTCAATCTTAAATAGCCCGCATATTCTCTTATTATTTATTATTTCTATTATAAAAACTATGACTCCTAAAAATAAATTATTTGCTTTTAAAAAAATCTTTTTCACGGATTTTTACTTCTCTCTCGCTAACAATATTCTTTTTAAATATAAAAAAGAATGTTAAGAAAATATTAAACTGTGCATCTTACCGTGCCGCGACTTGGAGAGATCGTGAGCCGGTGACGCTGGCGAGCCGATGCTGCCGTCCTCATCTTCGCTGTCGGTGAAGCTGCTGAGCGCACGCTGACTCGCTGTGCGACGGCAACCGTCCAAGGGGTAGTATCCCTGCGGATGACCGGTCGCCGATGCAGAGAGCTGTGGCAGCCGGCTCTGATGCAGCTCCGGGTGAGCCGGATAGCCGGCGGACGGATGCTGCGGCGGCAGCATCGGAACACCGGCCGCACCGCCGCCGCCATACATCCGCATCGGTAGCCAGGCGCTGTATAGGCCGAGCGGCACACCGAAACCTACGCAGATGGTTGATGGGTTTAACTCTTTCAACCCTTTGAAACTTGAATTAATAATAATAATAATTTTAATTTTAATAATAATAATTTTAAATTTAATAATAATAATAATTTTAATTCAATGAGATTATTTAGCTACTATTATAATTTAATTATATAAATATTTGAGTAAAAATCAATTAAAAATTCGAGTATTGAATATTGAACACAACGTTAGTTAACCGCGTTTAAAATCACAATTTGAAATTTTTTATAGTGGAAGCGTATTTCAAACCCGAAAACACGAAATTTGATTATTTTAATGTAATATTTAATATCTCTCTTAAATATTTTATTAACGGCTTTGTGTACTACTTCAATCTTCCCAGTATCCATTAATAGTAATACAAATAAATGCAACTGCAGGATCAATCAATTTTAATGTTTTATTTCCGTTCATTCAGTCTTGTTAAACGATGTTTTTTGTTTGCTAAATGTTTATTCTTACATTTAACTTCTATTTTCTTCAGCGCACACGTTTTTAGTCGCATATATTCATATTCGCATTCACAATCACTGTTAATATATATTGCATGTAATTGCTTTGTCTTTTAAGGTAAATGTTAGATTTCGGCTTTCATGTATATTTTTGTTAATTTTTTTTTACCTATAACGCTAATTATGACTTTGTATGACACATATTCTTCTTCATTAAATTCTTCATTAAATTCTTAATTAATTAATTTATAGCATGTATATCAATTCTCTTTTGTATCAATGAAATTTTGATATATAATTATTTGCATATATATATATCATATATGTAACATCGCGGTTACAAGTTTAACGAGACATAACTTTGAGTTAACTGCGCCATACTATCATAAGTTGAATAGAAGAAAAAACGGTAGGCTCCGAAGGTTCAATTATATGCATATCCGTGACCGCAGATTATAGTCCGCGAAACGTCGCCAGCACCTGGTATCTTTTCACGTTTTGGAGCATCGCTTAGACACTACGGCGCCTTTGACTCGATAGAATAATTTCTTATAGTGATTGTGTCATATCATTATCTATCTGCATATGTGTTGCATTGAATAATCCAAAATATCAATAATTGTATCTCATCAACACCAACACATGCTCAATGTCCGACAACAAATATATATATATATATATCAAACACAGTATCATAATGTCAATCACTGCTGATTAAATCAGTACATAATTCTCCCGTCGGAAGAGTAATAAAGATTATATGAGAATCTTTCATGTTTTAATTTTTAACAACTCTGTACGAATGAAGAATTTTTCACTTTTAATAGGGGTTCTTACACAATGACTTGTTAAAGTTAAATACATAAAGTTAAATAAATGTTATCATTCTACACGTTTGAGACACTTATTAGTTTGATTACTTATCCGTAATTAAAATGAAAGCTGATAGAAAATATATTCTCTTAAATTGAATCAGCGAACATATCTTCGTAGTAAAATTTCACTATTTGAAATGCTACATTTATAACTGAAAGCGCTGCTTATCAATGATGATATATTGATTTAATTTAAGAGAGTATAAGATGCAAACATTAAAAGCTTAATAATAAATTGATAAGGTTTCCCGTTTTACAGATACAAAGATTTCACAATTTCAGTATCGTTTACAAAATTAGCTGTTCTAATAAAAAAACTTGTTTTCAATTTGTATAAATTATTTATAATAATATTTATAATTACATACACACATATGTATATTTGAGATTTCAAGTTGTTTTCTAACAACATTATCACATTTATTGTTAAAGATCACAGAAAATATATTGGCGAGAACTGAATGAATTGTCGGAATACAACAGACGTGGTAACGCGCTCTTTTCGCTGCAGTTATCGATTCCTTTATTTTTACGTATTTGTAGCCACCGTATTTTAAGCTGCAGTCACGATATTAAATTTTTGCACATATCTGCATCATTTTCATCTAAAGAGTTCTTGTAAAATATTCTAAGATTTATAAATTGTTTCTAATCGATTCCTTAAAAAGTATAAGGACAAAAATATGCTAAAAAATATGATAAAAATAAAAATTTCTATTTAATAATTTTTTGTTTTCATCTTCACACTGCAAAATCTTCTTTCTTATTTTATAATTAGTTCAAATATTCATAACAAATAACCGTTCTGCCGTCGGAAAATTACGATTAATTAGACTGGCATTACTTTTGCATCCAATATTCTTTTCATAGAGAATAAATTTCTCTTAAATGTCAAAATACATTTTCTACTTTTACAATTAATTTATAGTGCTGTCAATTGCGAGGAATAAAACAGAGAACGAGAGCACTCACCTGAGGGTAGCGTGTTAGCCGTAGCGGTCGCCAGATAATGCCTCTGATAGAGCTGATACTCCCGATCCCGGTGTTCTTCCTCCTCGCTGCCGTTCGTCCGATCATCCCGCGCGACGCCACCACCAGCATCGTGATCCTCGCGCGCGCCCCCGATCAAGCTCTCGATCGTGAAGGGTCGCGGCGTCGGACGTCGCGCGAGCTTCGCCTCTACAGCCGACGATTCCAACTCGTCGCTCGCCGATCCGACGTCGAGCTCGGTCTCTTCCACGCTTGTGTCCATGACTCGTTGGACCCTGATGGACCCGATGGGTGTCGCAAAAATCGAGAGCTGGGCCGATCTCGATTCGATACTACATACGAAGCATGATCGTCCCTTTCCGTGCGCAGAAATTGTCCTCGCAGGATTCAAAGCGTCGTTTTTGCTGATACTCCCGATCCCGGTGTTCTTCCTCCTCGCTGCCGTTCGTCCGATCATCCCGCGCGACGCCACCACCAGCATCGTGATCCTCGCGCGCGCCCCCGATCAAGCTCTCGATCGTGAAGGGTCGCGGCGTCGGACGTCGCGCGAGCTTCGCCTCTACAGCCGACGATTCCAACTCGTCGCTCGCCGATCCGACGTCGAGCTCGGTCTCTTCCACGCTTGTGTCCATGACTCGTTGGACCCTGATGGACCCGATGGGTGTCGCAAAAATCGAGAGCTGGGCCGATCTCGATTCGATACTACATACGAAGCATGATCGTCCCTTTCCGTGCGCAGAAATTGTCCTCGCAGGATTCAAAGCGTCGTTTTTGTCTTCTAATAAATTCCGTTACCTTGAGTATTTTAGGAAACTGGATTGTGCAGATTTAATTGCGTTATGCGCCGAATCTGAATGAGATTTGCAGCCAGTGTCGGATTAGTTTTATTCAAATTATCAGTACCGAATTGTTGCAATATAAATCTGGTGTTGTCAATTATTGTTAAAGAGCGCTTTGTATGTCAACAGGTTTGTGTTAACAATTGTTTTATAGTTTTCTGTTTTATTCTACTTTGCGTGGTATTACATTTCGTATTGTAATAGCTATGGCACATTTTATAAGGAGCATTACAGTGTGGATAATCTTCACTGTCAATTGTCTTCTTCCTTTCTTTCTCTTTTCTCTTTCTATTCCGTACAATATTCAAATATAACATGTAGATATCTATTATGAGACTAATAAAAAAATCATAATCTTTTAATTCGACATGGCAGTCAATGTGTCGATGATAATTTATTTTGCATTTCATTGACGATATCTTCCGTGGTAGGAGTCATCGATGTATTTCACAATTTAACAATTTCCGGTGTATATTTATATTTAATATATAGATTAATGTGTACTTTGGCACTGGTTACAACTTTATATAAAAAGTAAAAGCTTATTACACACTCTTCGCTGTCTATCTTCGTGATTTGCAGAAACACTATCAATTATTGTAATTATAATACATTTTTATGAAAATTAGATGTGTGATATCTAATTAAAATTAGATACATATGATATCTAGAAATAAGATCTGTCATGTGAAAGATAGCATTCGATTAGTATAAATGCATTCATTACATGTGATTCCGTTTTCATGTGCTTTATTATTTGAATATAGTCATCGGCTTTTGCATATATTATAGCCTTTGAATAAAACTGATAGATAAATAGTTCAACTTGTCTAGGGCAATGATAAAATATGAAAAACTGTCGTCGGATTCTTGTTAAATTCTTACTTGTTCTTATTCTTGTTAAATTCTAAGCGTTAGATTATCACTCAATATCGTAAAGGCTAATAAAAAATACTGTTAATTATCTGCAAAACCTGGCAGATATTAATCATCAGCACAAATTTGTAGATGGACTTAAATTATTATGATAATACTCGTAGATGAAACTTCTAGAATTGCTTATATTCATTTTTATAATTTTTTTTTCTTTTCTTTCATTTGGCAACTTTCTCGACTATGAACAATTTTGCACTACTTGTTGATGACAATGATGATGGCACCCGCGAAACTATATATGCACCTAAGTGAAACTATATCGACATCAGACGGCAACCGTATGGCACACGGGTCGACGGGCGACTGCCGAGGGTATAGAGCAAGGTATTTTAATTCGTGATCCCCCCAGCATGCGCGGTTCCGGTGTGGTGGATGGGGTAGCTGCGCCGTACCGACCTTCATTCGACCCTGATTGGTTGCATGCGAACCAACAGTCGTCCGGCCGCGCCTATCGTTGGCTGACCCACCATCTTGGTGCCAGGTTTTTGATCCGAGGTGCTTGCATTCGGATGCTTCGAGATTGGAAACGGTGGACAGTTCAGGACAGTCGTAGTATAGGATCCATTTTTAAATGTCATGTGACTGCTGTGACAGCGTAATTAATGTTCTTTAACTAAACACGATTTCTGGATAATGATTGAAAAGATAAAACCCTCGAGAGCATCTTTCAAAAAGTGAAAATCTTGAAAATTGTTTTTGAAGAGCAAAATCTGTAAAAGCAATCCTAAAAAAAAATTTTTTTTGACGTTTGCTTTCCGAGAGAGCTATTCTAATAATTTTTTTTTCTCTCCAGCGTTAATAAAGTTTTCTGCCAATGCTTGATAAATGTTAGATTAGATTCCCCATGAAAAAAAAAAATATATGTACATATATATATATATTATTAATATAATTACATAATATGGAATATTATATATAATATCACACACATATTGACGTTCAAATTAAAATTTAACAAATCTCACACACTAAAATTATACATGAGGGATAACTTATGAGTGATAAGGCTCAACACAATTTTGACAGATAATTGCACTTTCGTAGACGATGAATCGACGTTAATGAGCTTTCTTCCACGGTCTATTTTGTACCTCAACATGTTCCCCATTAAGTTATTCTTCGTGCCACCCCCAAAGAGTATTTCCTAACAAGCACACTTATCAAAATTGATGTCTTGCTTCATCCGTTCACAAGAAAATTGACACCACTTATCTATTTGTGGAACATTATTTGAAGTCACTGTTATACATCGTCTTCTGATTGTCGTGTTTTGGCGTTGCTACATAAAATAATTAAATATTGTCAATACCATAATTTTAATATTGAATAACTCTTAAGCGCTTTCATTGATTATATTATTTTACTATAAGAGAAATATGTTATGCTTTAATAAACTTGGGAAAATATAATTAAATTATGAATTATGCTGCAACGTCATTAGAAATGTTATACTTGTTACTTCACACGTATCTGCGTGCACGTCGAATTTTAGGATGGCTTACGCCCACGCATCGTTTACATCGTTGGTGGCTCCGAGCAGGCTAATCGATGGATCACAGTAACGACACTATTTCGATACTCGTTAGCGTGCCGTCACTTTAATTGGATTCTAAAGTTATATATCATTATTTCCGTGCATAGCACTTTATATTTTTATCTTTGGTTAAATTTAATGTTTCGGAAATATATACATGTTAATTTAATAAAAAACATTTTTCTAACATTTACTCGCAAATATTATATTTATATCATCCGATTATTTACTTTATTCAATCCTATTCATACACACATGTATCATTTGCTTATATTTATTCCATTTAATCTCTGTTGCATTTATTATAAATATTGACCTACTATTAATTGTCTGAAAAAATCTGATGTATGTATATTTATATTTAAAATATTTCTATATAAAACATTTTTATAATACGATGTAAGCATATATATTTACTCTCACACTTTCTCTCTCTCTCATATATATAATTATATTATACATATTATCTTCTAATAATTTATTTGAGTTCTAACTCAAAGATGGAGATGATATTTCTATATTCTATATTCGAATGATATTTCTTAATAATGTAACAATATTTTACAATTATTAATACTCTTTCACGAATTTGAACATAACGGATGTAGTTTTACGAGCTGTCGTCAGAGAAGTTTATGGCAAACGTTTGCACTCATTTGCGCGACAGAAAGGCGGAAATGAGTATTGGCGAAGCTAAAGAATCGAGCACAAAGCTCGACAAAGTGGCACTTAACGCCTTGTAAAATTAGAGAAGGGACACAGAGGCAGGAAGAGAGATAAAGGCATTACGCCAGCGACGAAAGGTGTTTAAACGTGGTTCGCTCTGGTAGTCGACCTCCTCTGTCAAGTTAAGAACAAAGTCATCATTCAAAATAGAAAATTTGTAAACTTCTTTTAAGGATTAATCTCAATACGAAATATATAAATATCAACAGATAAATGTGCTGAAATTTTTTAGAATTTTAAGAAACAAACTTATCGAAATATTTCGTTACGATGTAAAAAGCTAATTGTTTTTACAAACATACTTTATCTGGTACATCATCCCCGGAGAAAGAGCAACGACTATAAATTTCATCTGTGTACCAAGGAGTGGCAATCGGCCAGATGAGTTTCACCCTACAAGTAGTCACTGACAAATTGGGGCAGACCATGTCGCGCAGTGGAAAATGCGAGGCACGCGCCAGGTCGGCGCTATAGAATACAAAGAATAATTTTTTTTTTCAATTTTTTGATGAAAAATAATATAAATTAAATGAAATAAACATTACACGCTTGTTACGTAAAAAGAACTTGTATGTAAATCACGCTGAATTCTGGGAGTTGACGCGATTATTTTTAAAGTTACATATAAAAGAATTAAATCTCACATCGTGTAATCGTAATCGCCTATCACAATGAAGGATTTAAGTCACAATAATAATTTTTAATTATAATAATAATTATAAAAAAAAAGAAGTTTCTATAATAGATTCTTGTAACTTCGCCAGATTCAAATTGCATTAAATCTGAGAGGTGCAATTTCCGTCATATTCGTTAGCGATAAAGCTGAAAATTCTCCAGTTACATTGTACGACCGTCATACATCACGAATAAAGAGAAACGTTCAACCCCAAGCGTTCTACGAGTCGCCATGTGCGCGGCTGCTGTTCGCGCAGAACGTAGAAACACAGGAGAGAGCTCCGACCGTGAATGCTCAGACGGCCTTAAATCTCGTCTCGCTGTTCGCTTCGCGGACAGCGGAGCGAAGCGACGCTGCGGGCGTCGTCGTCGATCCACGTCTTTTTGCGCGGCGGAGGCGTCGGTGCGCGTCCCGCTCGACTCGTTACGCACGTGTGAACGGAAATGTCGACGCTTAAACGCTCGCGGTCGGCCGAGTTTTAATTGCCTGCCGTTAGTTACGCGGCCCGAAGAGAAGCAAGAGGAAAAGGATGAGGAGGAGGGAAGGGCGAT